TTTCTCCACCGATGCTGCCAGACCTGCTGAGCTTTTCCAGCAATTTCTAGTTTTGTTTCTGATTCACAGCATCTGCAGTTGTTTCGGTTTTAATTCAAAATTAACTCCTTACATTTGGAATTCTTCGCCATGCTTCTGAGTGGCCACTATAAAAGGGAATTATTACAAAAGAACGTATTCATAAGTTATGTGAATTTGGGAAATGCAATTTGTTTATAATTGATTTTATTATGATGCATATGATTTTTTTCCTTTTCTTTCTCTTAGATCATGATGAATGTAGCACAAAGCAACACAGCTGTGATGATAATGCTCTGTGTTTTAACATTGTTGGAGGTCACAACTGCATCTGTAAACCAGGATATACGGGCAATGGCACCCATTGTGAGGGTAAGTGCTGCCAATATTTATCAGCTATCTTTTCTTGAAACTTTAACACTTTACAGTTCAAAAGGCCTTAATAAAACAGTTTGGTGGATTTTCTTTCTAAGTATCATGGTGCAATATTTACTGTGTTCCTTGTATGGAGCCATTCTTTCTCCAAAATGACAGAGGTCCTGTCAAAGTCTTATCTTAGGATACAACTGAAACTGCGATCGATATCAGACTGATGATGTGAGCTCCACTTTCCAGTAGTTCTCAAACAGCCACGTACTTCTACCAACTGTTGCTGAATAAACCTTAGTGAAATCTGAAACAAAATCAGAAATTGCTGGAAATATGCCATATGTGGACAGAAAGTCAAGTGACATTTCGGGTTCAGTGACCCCTCTTCGGAACAGGGTCCGAAACGTTAACTCCGCTTTCTCTCCGCGGATGCTGCCAGACCTGCTGAGTCTTTTTAACGATTTCTGATTTTGTTTCAGATTTCCAGCATCCAAAGGTTTTTTTTTGAATTGTGGCTTGTTGAAATCTGAATGGGAACATGCCATTTCTGCTGATAATAGCAGTTAAAATTCCCCACACTGTTTATGGTGCAGTCAGTTAGGCTTATAACATTGACCTGCTGCAGCAGCCAAATGAATCTGTATATAATACCGTTGAAAGTGCAGATTTCTAAAATAAAACAGAATAATTCTGCAGTCCTGTAAAAATTCAGCTAAATCCTTCCATTTGAAAGTCTCTCTTTGGTCAATATCAACCATGGCCAATAGATATGACCATGCCTCCAGAAATAACTATTGGAGTGGAGATAACCTTAGTACTGTTTTACACTTGGTGCAACTGAGTGGGTCCAGAAAAGTGGCTTAATTGAGTTTAACTAGCTCTGGGAATGCCCACTGCTGTTAGCAACAGCTATTTTTGCACCAGACTGTTTTGTCACTACACACCTCCGGAGCAGATGGGACTTGAATATAGGTCTCCTGGCCCAGAGGTGGGGACAGTACGTCCGATCCACATCAACTCTCTATGCTTTTGGCTACAAAGTCAAAGAGGGTGAAATTGGCCAATGGGAGCAGTAGAAGGGTGGCACGTGGCTCAGTGGTTAGCACTGCTGCCTCACAGCGCCAGGGACGCGCGTTCGATTCCACCCTCAGGCAACTGTCTGTGTGGAGTTTGCACATTCTCCCCGTGTCTGTATGGGTTTCCTCTGGGTGCTCTGGTTTCCTCCCACAGTCCAGGGATGTACAGGCTAGCTGGATTGGCCATGCTAAATTGCCTGTCGTGTTCAGGGATGTGTAGATTGGGTGGATGGGTCTAGGAGCGATGCTCTGTGGGCCAGTTTGGACTTGTTGGGCCAAAGGGTCTGTTTCCACAGTGTAGAGATTCTATAATCTATGAAATGAATCGGAGGTTACATTTCCACTCTGTCAGGTTTTATGTTCCATTGACATAGAAATGTGACCAAAATTTGAATTTTCAAACCAGGGGAAAAAGCCAGGAAACAAGTCTCCTGTTTGAACTATTGTTTTAAGGATTAAGTAGTGATTGGAACTAGGTGGATCTCGTTGACTACGCTGGCTGACCAATATAAACAGGGGATTTAGAATCTCCTCAGTTCAGGAGACTGACTCTGAGCAGGACGGTTAACAGCCAGTGTACTGTGCATGAGTAAATAAAGGGTGGCTTGGTATCAGGATACCAGCTTCTGTGCAGTTACTTCAAAGAAAATAAGAGCAAAGAAGATCAGCTGAGGTGAAAGCTCAGCTTCCAATTTTAGCATTAACCAATTTCACTCTCAGCCCCACTCCCACTAAAAATGTAATTCCTTCATGAAGCAAACATTGGGGCAAACTAAACAGCTTGTATTAAGAGACCTTTTAGAGCATGTGAAAATAATCTTATCATCTGAGTACCAGAGTGTAAATTGTATTCAAAAGTGAATGAGGCGACAAAGTTTTGGACCCCAGGTATTTTTTGGCTCGTGATAATGACATCATTTACAATTTCCTCTCTCAGACAGTAATGAATGTGGAATTCTGTACATTAGAGGGGTGTTGACACTGGGCCATTAAGTAAATCCAATGGCTGAATCATTGAGGAAATCAAGGGTTACAGGGAAAAGTCACAAAAGTGGAGTTGAGGATCAGCTATGATGGCATTGAGTGGAATGGAATTCCCTCCCTAAGGGCATTGTGGATCTTAAATCATAGAATCCCCTACATTGAGGAAACAGGCCATTCAGCCCACACTGACCCTCTGAAGAGCATCCCACCCAGACCCACACCCCCACCTCAACCCAATAATCCTGCATTTCCCATACACATCTTTAGTCTGTGGAAAGAAACCAGAGCACCCAGAGGAAACCCACAGAGACACTGGGAAATTGTGCAAACTCTACACAGACAAATGCCTGAGGCTGGAATCAAACCCAGGTCTCTAGCACAATGAGGCAGCAGTGCTAACTGCTGTCCCACTATCCCTCCATGCCACCCTAACCACAGGACTTGGACAGCAGCGATTCAAGAAGCCAGGTCACCACCACCTTCTCAAGGGGCAACTAGGGACGGGCAATAAATACTGGACCCAGCCAGTGACACCCTTGTCCCATAAGTGAATTAAAAAATTACTCCAAAACAAAACCAACATTTAAAAGGGTCAAAATATTCTGACATTTCTCCTTCAGCTTATTCTATCAAAAATAAATACAGGAAAGACAGAAATTCACAGCAAGTCAAGCAGCTTATGAAGGCTATAAGAACAATCAGGATCAGCCTTACATCAGGTGCCTTTGTCTTTCTGAACATTTTCCATCATTGCTGATTTTATATCAGATGCCTTGCCAGGGCTAGGGTTATTTAGTCTCGCAAAAAAGACAGTGGATCCAGTGTGTGAAAGTGTAGGCTGCCAAGTTTAGAAACAATTTATCAAATAGAAGTGTATGTCAGAGTCAATTTTCCACATGTGTGAGCCTTGCTAACGCTAACGTAGAGGAGTTTGGTTAAAGTGATTGCTTACACAGATCATTGTCATTGGCTATCCACTGTTCATGATTCCATTAGGGATTTCTATTGAAGAGCTATATGCAGTTCATTCCCTTAAGAAGTTGTTAAATGCATGAATACTGAAGTGCAATGGCATTGTGATAATTTTATAAACTCCTTTGAGAAGTAGTGGTGGAGTGCGTGTGAAAAGAAGAGTGGGAAGATAAATGTGTTTCAACCTAACCTGTAGTCATTCATACATTCAATTCTGTGTGATCACCTGGTGGTGCCGTGACATGTGCCAACAACATAGGAAAAAGGTTTAAGCTAATCTAACAGATGGACAGGCCTTTTTGCTCAACCAGTTTTCTGTTAGCAATAGCGTAAGAAGCCAATTTGCCCAAGAGGATTTCTTAGGCCATGATGGACGTTCTGTTCACAGCAGCCCCATCTTTGTAACATAAAAACATAAGAACCAGGAACACGAGTAAGCCATCGGGCCCTTTGAGCCCGCCTCACCATTCAATAAGATCATGACTGATCTTTTTGTGGCCTCAGTTCCACTTATCCACCCTCTCACTATAACCCTTAATTCCTTTACTGTTCAAACAATCATCTTAGCTTCAAAAAGCATTCAATGCAGAAGCCTCAACTACTTCACTAGGAAGGGAATTCCACAGATTCACAATCCTTTGAGAGAAGAAGTTTTTCCTCAACTCAGTCCTAAATCTGCTCCCCCTAATTTTGAGGCTATGCCCCCCAGTTCTAGTTTCACCTGTCGGTGGAAACATCCTCCCTGCTTCTATCTTATCTATTCCCTTCATAACTTTATATGTTTCTCTAAGATCCCCCCTCATTCTTCTAAATTCCAATAAATATAATCCCAGTCTACTCAGTCTCTCCTCATAAGCCAATCTTCTCAACTCCAGAATCAACCCAGTGAGTCTCCTCTGCACCCCCTCCAGTGCCAGTACATCCTTTCTCAAGTAAGGAGACCAAAACTGCACACAATACTCTAGGTGTGGCCTCACCAGCACCATATACAGCTGGAACATAACTTCCCTGCTTTTAAACTCAATCCCTCCAGCAACGAAGGGCAAAATTCCACTTGCCTTCTTAATTAACTGTTACACCTGCAAACCAACCTTCTGCGATTCATGCACAACGACATCCACGTGCTGCTGCACAGCACCATGCTGCGATATTTTACTGTTCAAATAATAGTCCTTTTTACTGTTATTCCAACCAAAATGGATGACTTCACATTTATCTACATTGTACTCCATCTGCCAGACCTTTGTCCACTCACTTAAACTATCGATATCTCTCTGCAAACTTTCCTCTGCACACTTTGCTCTATCACTCATCTTAGTGTAATTCGCAAACTTTGACACACTACACGTGGTCCCCAACTCCAAATCATCTAAGTAAGTTGTAAACAATTGCAGTCCCAACACTGATCACTGGGGCACACCACTAGTCATTAATCGCCAATCAGAAAAGCACTCATTTATCCCCACTCTGCTTCCTGTTAGTTAAACAATCCTCTATCCATGCCAATACACTGCCTGTAATGCCATGCTCCTATACCTTATGCAGCAGCCTTTTGTGCGGCACCTTGTCGAATGCCTTTTGGAAATCTCGATACACCACATCTACTGGGTCGCCATTGTCCACCACGCTCGTAATGTCTTCATAGAATTCCAGTAAATTAGTTAAACATGACCTGCCCCTCATGAACCCATGTTCCATCTGCCCGATGGGACAATTTCTATCAAGATGTTTTGCTATTTTTTCCTTGATGACAGATTCAAGCATTTTCCCCACTACAGAGGTTAAGCTAACTGGCCTATAATTCCCCATCTTTTGTCTACCTCCTTTTTTAAATAGCAGTGTAACATTAGCTGTTTTCCAATCTGCTGGAACTGCCCCAGAGTCCAGTGAATTTTGGAAAATTACCACGAGCGCATTTGCTTTTTCTCCTGCCATCTCTTTTAGTACCCTGAGATGCATTCCAACAAGACC